CTCAGTCGGGAACAACGGTATGTCATAAAGTCCAAAATAAATATCAACAGGAAGTATTGACTCAGGAAAACACCAGAATGATCGGTCTACGTTAAGCGCAACATTATAGAAAGACTACGGCCGGGATCACCTTGAGTAGTCATATGAGTAGCGTTCCATGCTTCCCGACTGAGGATACAGTTGCAGGGAAAAGGGTAATGGACACCTAAGTGTTGTAGTCCGCTGTCAATGGAAGAAAACATATTCTGCCAGGAAAACAGTTTTTCTTCAGCACTATAATCCATGAAAGGGCAAGTGGGGAACGTAGTCAGGCAGCCTCCCATCCCTAAGTGTAGCCGTATCGTGATGTCAGACATCGCTGAAGCACAAAGAGTGAAATATCTCAGTACGGAAAATAATGAGCCCGCATTGCATCTGCTCTTTTCTAGCATTGATACCTATCCAGCATTACACATGCACGCGTGTGAGAATGCTAAAGTGTGTTGACCAGCTTTCTCCAAAAGGATATCTGTTTCGATTTTTCTTAAAACCACTGGAGTTGCGCTAGCTGAGAGACATAGCCGAGTCCCAGTTGCATGTCAAGTTCAGAAATCAGATTGCGATGCGACACCAAAACATCACACACCTAGCTAAATGCCTAAGTCAACTTGAGCCACGTCGTCTCTCAGGAAAATCTGGTTAAGAGTCAAAGATACCGGTGATAGGAAACCTCGCCTATATGGCGAAATCACGAGAGATGAACAAGTATGGTACAACTGCCTCAAATTCAGTAAGCTAACTATAAACAAACATGTGGTCGGTTCCCTCCTACTGGGACTAACCAAGGGGGTACAAATGGAACCGATCGCATGGTCATTTCATGCTGACCCATTTTGACCGTATAGCATCACGTCCGCCGATCAGTTAGCAGTGTGTAGTTCATGGTTCCATTTTGGACTAAATTAGTAGGCACAACAGCCATCTCAAAATCAATATTGCACCACAAAAAAGGTTTCATAAGAAAACCAAGTGACTCTCATTCGCATCAGCCAGAATACAAAGGGCGATTCACGGACATACAGGTGCTAAGCAAGGAATGCACTTGTAACCGAAACAATGTACCGAGGAAGTACACAACTCATTCAGCTGGCCAACCAGAACCATGATAACTGAATCTCCTCACAACGAACCCATTAAATAGGAAGCTGCACCATCCATCAATCGAAGCAAAGTTACAGGATCGCACTCATTCAACACAGGTAGTCAAACAATGGTGTGAGAACTGAACACCCCATTTGGAGGTACACACGAAAGGTACGTGTGAGGAATCCGCCTCAATCACTCGACTAAGCGATGTTTCACCGACAACTTACACCCTCCGAGTGCGCAGCTTGGAGTAGTGAAAACACCAATCCACTCACTTAAAAAAGACAACGTGACAGCCAACAAATGAATTCAGTTGACCGTGATGCAGAAGGCTGTAAAGCCGCTGCCCACGCGGTTTTCAGCTGTCAGGCCAGGAAAGTCTTGTGGTTCACCCACTGATGACCGAGGCTACAACCAGTAGCAAAGTAGATCCCACGAACTTACTCAGTGGGTTGCACCCCCCAAGAGGAGTTAACTGCCTCACATAAGCAGCAGCTTTCCGGTTTTTTTTGCTGGTTCCCCGAAAATTTTCTTGGACAGCAGTAAACTGACACGATAATCTCCAAGTAATAACAGTCGCAAGTTAGGGGCGAATATCTCTGCTGGGGCGTTTTTGTATTGTGGGAGGTTATATACTTTTGAGATGTCCAGGGGCAGAAAAATCGTTCGTTAAAATTATATGCCCCAGGAGGTTCTGAACGTCGGGTGTTTCGGAGGGAAAACTGTTCTAGTCAGTGTGTTGATCTGACAAGCCATCGATCCTTGACTAATGATCGAGCTGTGAGCTACAGATGTGGCCGGATGTTACAGTTTGTTTATCTGAATTTCAATGGTTAACTTCCGGTCTTTGTGTCGAACGTGACATGCCGTCCACTGTTGCGAACAGTTTGCTTGCCTCTTCATAAGCAGAAGTGTGCAATGTACATTTGTCCACTTGGAAACTTGGATGCATTGGTAATTGTCCGTCTATTACGCGCCAATGATGTTTCCGTCGAGGGAAGTCAATAGATAATGGTACAGGTGTGATTATTCGAAACAATGAGGACTGAAAAGGATTGGAATCTTAGAATTCCCTTGTAATCATGGTTCTTCAGATGTATAAAGTAGTATCAAGTATGCGATAGTGAGCTGCTAAATGCTAACTGAAGACATTTATTTGAGAAAACAAATGAGGAAAAGTAAAATTTCCAATACCGCCAATTAAAAATGCGAATATCCTCATTCTCTTGGATTCTAATGAAGAACACTTTTCCCTGTGCAAAAACAGCATTCCTTGTTACAGCCTATCGTCCATTTGGGACTACGTTAGACTTTGTTGTCTTAACGTGACGCTGTAACTAATGAAAGGTTAACAAAAGAATGCAAGTGTAGAACTTGTCTTTCAGAATGGTGAGATAAACGTGGTGATATTTCGCTCAGAAATCGTTCTTTTCACAACACAAATGAGGGAAAGTGCACACAGCGGTAGGACGACAGTACAAAAGTGCACAAAAGCTGAATGGGTGGGTGCTGTTCGTGGGTGCACATTCACGTAAAACGAGTTTGACACACAAAATCACTGAGGTGCCATGAAAGTAAGTGACAGAAAAGCCAGTACAGTTTTAACGTCCCCAACTTTTTTACCAGCACACGAAATGTATGAACAAATGAAGTAGAACCTTTCATAAAATTCTCTTCGGTACACTTAAGCAATGCAGTAACGTTGACTAACAGACCAACATGAGCGAGTTAATGATGTACTTCATAGAATCATCTGGCCACTGAACCTTATCGAAGTTATGTTCCTTAGTGCTTCTGTGATTCCCAAACCTTTTTTCTTTGCTCGCATTATCTGCAAAAATCCCAGCGGGTTCCGCTGGGAAAAAATACTTTATACAAAAAATTCATTCTTAGCATAGTCAAAACGTATTTTGTTTAATTATCAAAATATTTTCTTCAATTGGATACACGCAATACATGGTTCAGTAACTCCGTTCCCAAAAAGGCTCGTAATATTTGGCGTTGTTCTATAAAGACATGCTTGTTCCAAGTATACTTTCTCCCTAAACAGACATGGAAAATATGTCGGACATTAATAGAGGGCAGAAATTTGCTGGCTGGTGATATAGCCTCTTCACCGGAGGAGATGAGATTAATTGAAACGCAACAAACAGTACATGACACACGGAACTGGTTAGCCATGACTTTTGTCAGCAATATACGCAAAGTGAATTCAAACATTCGGATTCAAAAAAATCTGGCTAACCGGAGCTCACAATACGCGCTGATAAAAACGGAAGCCATGTATATTCAGTAGACAGCGTGAACCTGTCACTTTTGGTTGCTTATTAGAAAGCTGGGATTTTTCACAATACTTGTCTTTCCTGTACAACTTTTTGGCTCAGCCTTCTCTGCATAGGGCAAACGAATTCAACGAATACTGCGGAAAACCGAAGTCAAACTAAATTTTCTGTCACCGATTACGAAGGAACTAATTTATTTTCGTAATTTAAAAAGTTTGTATGATGCACGAGCGGTTCAGATACGTTCGCTTCCGGGTGAGAGAAAACCATGTACGTTCCTGATCTGCCCGTTCCAGCCGAAACTGCAGCAGCCGATGGCTTAGGGATCTGTCACAAATCATATTCGTAATCCTCACACTGTTCTCAGGATTGAGGCATAACTTCTGCTGCAATGCATATCTGTGTAGAAAAAGTGGTTTATCTTGACGTCTATAATTCCTTTCCCGAACAATGCTGATGACTCTGAGCGGGTGCTGAACATGATTGGTGCTGCATCGGTACAGATCGAACTCTTAATTATGGGAAATTTGAACAATCCAGTAAGACAAACATCGGTCGACGAATGCGTCTATAAAAAAAGCGTTGTGAAGAACTCTAGGACGATAAAAATCCATGAGTTACGACGTTTATTCCAGTCATCTGTACAAAAATATATCCAGACCTCTGTGTACCGATTTTTGATAAAGGCTGGGTACGCTTGATATCCCATTCGATAACCGTCAAATCTGTTGCGGAATGACTGGATGTGACAAACACCCGGTAATGGGCAGCACTCGTTAATACCTGGTGTGCCGCAATTGGGAAAGGATGAATGGTCACGAGTAGCGCTGGACGAACGATTTCTAGGGTCCTCCTCAAAAACCCCAAATGAGAGAACCGGAATAGCAATGATAGCGACAAAACGCCACAGAGCCCGACCACTGTTAGAAGTTGTTTACGTGCAACACTATTCATACGGCACGCAAAACTCTAGATAGCCCGGTTTCGTATTCCTTGAGGGTTATCAGGCACATCGGGTTTCATAACTTGAACACCAGGCTGCAAGAAGCAACCATTTACAAGTAAATTTGATTTTGACAGGATGCCCGGCTAAAATTTACCTCGGGAATACCATTAGCGGGATATTCAGCTGAATTTTATCTGTTTTTTGGATGCACCAAATCGTCCACGTATATGTGTGGCGGACCATTTTGTACTCGTTTGCAGGCTACTTACTATCAGCACGACCACACAATAAGTGATCAGTCTTGAATCCGCAACTGAGAACAACTGATGGGGATACTCCAAACAACACGAGACACCTGAGGTGCAACGCACATTGTCATTTGCTCTGATAAGATGAGGCAGACATCGGAGACGCGAATTTCGGTACTCAATGCTATATCGAATTCATGTGCGCCAGAGCAGACTCGGGTGGTTATTGCGAGCCGATCAATTATGTTTTCAGATAAGTGGTAAACAGTTGAATACTGAGAAAAAAAAGTGGTCAGTGGCACACTTCACAGCTGAATAATGAGAGCTAAGGTCTCATTGACAGACACGAGCAAACGGCAAGCAATGACATTTATCTTCGTGAAAATACGACGAACTCACATTCTTGTTTGAACGTGAAGTACTCCGTCAGGTGGCGACATTCGTGATTCCCACGAAGTAAAAAGAATGTTGTCGGATACAGCAACTTCAGCGCCCATAGGTACAAAACACACTAAAAACAAGGAACCGCCGAGAAAAGAACGCGTGTTAGCGGCATGATAACAACAAAATGGGGTGGGTTAGTTGAAAGACAAATGAGTGATCATATGAGCACAGACTTTAGCATGGAAGTAACGAACTGCTAAACAGCCCGTCGTTTATGCGCAACTTTCGTAAAAAGTATGTTCCCTATCCGGATCTGGGGTTTTGAATCTATAGTGTCATAGTGTATTCAGTTCTTGAACGTTCCACATGCGATATAATTTGATGTTACCTAAGCCATTGGATGCCATTGGGTGCTATCTGTTCGGACACCTACCTGACTAAGAGTGATTGGTCAGGATGTTTTATTTGATTAGTTATCGATCCATCAAGCCATGGCCTTCCAATTGGGCCATATGTTCCTAATTTAACTGCACTGTGCAGGTACTGCAATTATGATCTTGTCTGAGACACATTAACTAAATTCGGCGGGTTGGGCAGCAGCAGACAGGAACCGCTACAATCCCACCACTACTTAATGTTTGAAAACCGCCAAACCAACGACAAAACACGCTCAGTGAAAACAGACCTCTCTTTTTATAATTCAAAAAGGATGCAGGTTTAATCAGAGCGGATCAGACGCACTACTAAAGGGCTGGTAGCCTCACTGATAACGGCCAATTTAGAAGAGATAACATCGGAAAACATTCCTTCGGTGGAGAAACATGTGACGAGGCAGCTGTAGATGTTGAAAATGGATGACGTTTTTACAAAGCTCGAATACAAACGTCGACAGAGAAGTATATCGTATACCGTATTCCTTTTTGTCCATTCTGCACGAGACGGTATAAGCGTCCAATAGAGATCATTCCGCAGTTTTCGGATTTCGTTTTTCATTGGGATGTCATAAGAAAGTGGATACAAAAATAAACATAATCTTCCAGAGCTTCTGTTCGGTGGCACATTCGGGACGGGTTTATTCGGACGCACAATAAAAGTTAGTCTTACGAGTTACAGAGCCACTCAGTTTTCTATAACAAGGTGGCTAGGTATGAAAAACTAGCAAGAAAAAAAAACAAAACTGATGAAGCCGTCATATGTAAGTCTTCGATTTCGATCAGGAAACTTTTATTCCTTGAAGGCAGTCAAAAACCTACATAAATCTCGAGTCTGTTATTTCGAACTCGAAACGCTTCTTTACCCTTATGAAACGAAATCAAAACCACTTAAGGTCTGCATAGGTGCCTGTCATGTTGGTCTCTCACCAATACTCTGTATCGTTGTTGAAGTGCTGTTTGAAACTACTCTGCCTGCCTCTGGGAATCGAAATGTTCTCGGAGCAATCGCTCCCGAACAGTGAGTACGTGGAAGAAAGTGTTCTCCTCGGTTGAGATGCCCCGAAATTGTAAACCACTTTGTATAATATAAGTAAATCTGTCGCACCGCTTAGTGAGCGCTTCAAACCTACAGAGTGTAAAATGCTGCTACAAGATTTGGTGAGATCAAACTAAATCCTTGTGCTTGCAGACGAGCCAATCGAAGTTGTGGACAAATAAGTTTACTTGGGCAGGTGTGCAAGTTCCGATGGACTGGCTGGAGACGAGATTACTTCTCGAATCGGGAATGCCGGGGCAGCTTTTTCAACCTGTCACCTATATCATCGACGTGACGTCGGTTCGTCTGTCAAGGGCAGACTGCAAACCGCTGCCGTGCGATCCATATTCCTTTAGGGATCAGAAACGAGGCTTGTACGTGAAGTAGATATACAAAAGCTGCCAGTATTTGACTATTTGTGTCTCCTAAGTAGTGGTTGGGTCCAGTGGAAATATTGGATTATCAATTCTGAGGTAAGTCAGTAGGTTTTAGGAGCGAGTTCCTCCACGATAGATGAATTATTAGCACGTCATAGATTAGCTTGTTAAGATATTTATTCCGTGTACCAAAGGACCGTCTGTCTCGGAGAACTCTTTTCGCCGAGCCTTGTGCTGAATGGAAGCGACCGAGAGTTTGACAGTGTATGACCCGACAAGAAAAAGAGAAAACGATGACCAGTCAACTCAGTCAGGTCGACAACTGTCATCTCCCTGGATAGGAACTCAGGAACTCAGCTCATCAATGGTTAATGAAACTGGTAGACATGGTTCAATCACGGTCATTAGCGCTTGTGCACCAAAGCTATCGCCTTCAATGCGTAGCAGCCCAGTTTTTCGCTTCTTCAGATAGTTGGAATGGTTCAAGTTCAACTAACTGACTATCCCATCGACTCCAATGCCCGACTATGTCTCCTCTTTTCTAGCATTCTTTGGCACTCAACTGGCAATGCCTGAAAGAGGACAGCTAAAATATATTGCAGAAAGCATAAAAAAATAGAACGAAAAATGGATTGAGGGATCAGTATCACTCGGAGTCATTGAGCCGCTGGAGTACTTCTCCTTTTTGCCAGTCAGCGAAGTGTACGTTTGGCACACGAAGGCACCTGAAGGTTAGCTCACAAGGTTATCCTGAAACTTCGACGAATGTAACATATATGAATATAGAAGGCTGATGCTGATACTTACAATAAGTAAGCAACGTGGAGAGTCAGGATTAAAATGATCCTCACTTTTACAGCAAATGAATAAATTCGTATTGAAATTACATTTCTATATCTGAGCTGAGACAGCATATAAACAGCGAACAAAAATCGACAAGCGTCATCTTCCGGACCCTGATATTAGAACTGCGTGAGGTTTATCAGATGGCGAGATGGACCAAGTGGTTAGAGCACGAAACTGCCGATCGGAAGGTCCGTGGTTCGAACTCGATCTCTGCCTTTCGACTTACCCTGTCTGGACTTGGGCAACCTGGCAGTATCCCAGCCCTCGTGCCTCCTTAGTGTGGCATGGCAACTAGGCACCGGAAGGGTGCCACGGCTGAATGATTTATGTTATTATTTTTGAGGTTTGTTAGCAGCTCCAGATGAGTTAACAGTGAGACCAAAGGATAGTGTATACAATGCAGTTATACGGACAGTCTAACTTTAGGCCTGCGAAACTTCCCCATCTCTACCTGGAGATTTCAAGTGTTTCAAACACTCGGTCCTTGGGTCCACGTAACATAACGGTGTGTCCGTGGAAAGGACCGTACGCGAGTACTCAATACTCAGTCTGAATCGATACGATAGCAAATAAAATTCACCAGGATTCAGTGGTTGGAAGGCACACTACGCATACCCAACTTTTATCCATCACTCGAAATCCTTACTGGTGAAAATTTGGACGCACCATGACGTATAAAACGAAGGCAGCTACGGTCACTTTGGATGCTGTGGAGTCCCATCACGATTGCAGCTTGTGATTATACTTGCGCAAGCCCAGAAATCATACAGAACGACGTGTTTAACCTATCTCGATGATGGCATGATGTCACATCATTACCAGGCCACCTAACTGAAGCTATTCGCTGTTATGTATTGGGCTTGTGTTCAGTAAGGCTGGTGGCCTCTTATTCCGACGCGATGCACGAATGTATTCACTCAATAGCTTTTCGATGTATAAGCAAACGTACATTAGTTGATTGCTTTCCCTGAGCACCCAAGCCTTTTGCATTATCTTTCCTTGGACTCCATGTTAGGATGTCCGTTTCACCTGCTTCTGAGGCTGTTAAGCCTCATTATTCAATACTGGCGTATTGATGTCGGTAACCAATATGATGTTGACGACGGCACAGGATTTTCCAAGAGCAAATATATCCTAATGAATTGGTGTGTTATTGTGGACAAGTGCTATTGCTCGCATCTGTGGGACATGTACACGGAGTAACGAGTTACCTCGTCTCCAGAGATGAACAGAGCGACTGCGTATGATGGTAACCGCACTGATTTCAGTTTGGTTAAAGTTGGTTCGTATTCAAAAAGAGAATTTTTCGCGATGGGTGGATTATAATTAGGTCCCCTAAAGACGAAACGTCGCTAGCTACCTTCAATAAGTAGCAAGCGGAAACAATAGTGCATAAAAAGGTTTGAAAAATTGGATCAATCGTGGGGTCACTAGCTGTTATCGATGCAGCTTTTTCCTATAGCCGGAAAGCTATATGAACAGACTCAATGTGTCCATAATCTGCCAGATTACATCGCGTACATACACATCCCAAACCGGATGAATCCACGCTAGAAAGGTGGCTACCACGTAGAAAACCGGTGTGCGCTCGCCAGTGCCAACGCTGTCTATCGTCACCTGCGCGTTGTACGGGTGGTATGCATTTCGCTACACAATGTGAGAGGGCCAGTGCGAGATTAATGCGTCCGAGTATCCTCAGGGGAAATTTGAAGTAATCAAACCATGCCGGACAGTTTATCGATCAATCTGTTCTGTTTGCCATTGTGGATATACGGTAGATAAAACGACGACAGTCTATAGGTGTGTCCAGCCGGAGATGTGCGAAGCGAAAATCAAACACACCGGCAGATCCAAAATTTCTGTCAAAAATCAAACTGAGGAACCCATAAAACTTTGACATTCAGCGGCAGTAAACGGCGTCCAATCACCCACCACATGGTTTTCCTGGTTCACTAACTTTTAGTGTTGCAAAACAGGCAGCCAAGCGGACAGGCAAACATGTGCTCACCACAAAAGCTCAAGGTTGACCAGCAATAAATTGAAAAGCGGTCTGTACGGTGATGAGGGGGTGGGTGGGAGATGAGCGAAAAGAACCAACACAACCAGAGAATAACATATTCTCTGGATGTGTTGGACCTATCCACAGCGAAAAGCTAGTTTGTTCGCCGAGCTTGACAAGTGAATTGTAATCGGATTACAAAGCCCGGAAAACAAACCAAGTAGCGCATCCGATTTATCCATATCACGCAACAGTACCAAAAGCAAAACATTTTCGAGTGCGTCAATAATTTTCCACCGCACTAAGTAAACTTATCAATTTGACCCCAGTTGAAGCCACTGCAATTAATTGAGTATCTGAGTTCAAAACTCAAAACAAAGCCTCTACAAATTCCGATCATTTGGTGTTTTGATTAGTTATCAATGGGGACGGTGCTGTTGTGAGCTTTGAGGTCGGACCACTACAATAAATTTCACTGCATTTAATGGTGAGTCACACTGCCACTACAAACGTGTCGCAAGGTAAGGTAGGTCACACCTGATTACCTGTTGTTAAATCGATGAACCAGTATAAGCAAAAAACGGTGAAAACCGGTATCTACAAAGCCATTACTAGAGAAGTTGACGCAGCCTAATTCCCCATAGATTTCTGCGTGGAGTAGGGGTCCTCTAATATTGTTTTTAATGGTTCACGTAACACGTACAGCAGCCATTTACAAACTGGTGTATTGTGCAGCGATGTTCGGCAGTCCAAACAATACACGGCCCGACAGAACCAAGGACAACAGTGAACTCCCCACATCGCGTAGCGTTAACGGTGTGCCAATTTCACAATTTAAAACTTTGCTTGAAGGGAACATCAATATACCCTGGACATTGATCGCCTGATTAGCAACCGAGCCAACAAAACTTGCGCGACAAACAAATTCTAGAACAGGCTGCCACTGGGTGTACTTTAGCGAAGAACGTTATTCGCCTATTCCCTGAGAGGATATTCATTCAGAGACAACTGCCCTAATGAAACAGCGAGTAGCACTCAAACCGAAAATCTAATCCGCCGAAAAAATAATATAGATGGTCGTTTACAAGCCTCCAATGACTTCGATAAAGTAACAGTGTCCCTGGACACATTTAACAAACCATATATAAGACCTATGGGTTACAGTATGACACACATACCGCAATATAAAATAATAGTCTTGGATACCAGAGAAACTAACCGTCAGGGAACAACGGTAACGCCCAAAGGAATCTGCCTTCAACAACCTTTCAAGAGATGTATAGAAGGGTATTAGTGCGCTTAAAATCGTTCGGTTGTAGCACCCTTTCAGTGCCCAAATGCCATGCCACCAGAAGGAAGCACCAGGGCTGAAATGCTGCCACGCTACCCAAGCCTAGACAGGGGAAGTCGAGAGGAAGAGGTCGGGTTAGAACCACTGACCTTCCGCTCAGCAGTTTCGCGCTCTAATCACTTGAGCCACCACCCCCCCACCCCACGAAATACCCTCAAAAAAGAGAGAATTCTGCTGAGAACCCAAAATACCAATTCGAAAAAAACGTTCAAGCCTGGTATGGCGACGCAAGCGCAATACATTACTCGTGTGTCTGACCACATGTGGAATTAAACAATTCGTAGTACACAGAATCACTGATGTTAACACCAATTCTCACCAATTAAGCAACCTACTGTACACTCATTGCTAAGCCCACCTGCTAGACTGCACGGAGACACCTGTTACCCAAAGATCAACGGGGCTCCGGTAATGGTGGATTCTTGGCTGCAAACCGGGTACCAACACTGAAAAAAGGAACTACGATATGGCAAACGACTGGCATGCTAAGAACATAGACTCCTGGTCATTACGCATCATCACCGACCTGACGTACAGCCTGTACAGATCCACGGACAACCATGGAGCTGTAGTTGTGGGTCAAAAAAAGCTGAACAAGAGTTATACAAACGAGCACGAACAGAGGTGGCATCTGGAGTCAACGAATGGGATCAACTGAAGATCTGATGGTTTTTCAGTGGTTCACATCCCTGTGCTCACCCTGCAACTGGTAACGCAAACATCGAAGGGACACCGTGGAACAAAAGTGGTACGACCTTGAGGAAGTCATATATATATATATACATATATATATATAATGATACCAACCTTATGCGTAGCGTGTCCCGTCAAGAAAGCATAAGATATTTCTAGCCGCTCGAAATGCCCCTCAATATATAACCGATGAGGAAAATAATTCAGACTTCCACCTGTCAGTCCTGAAAAGCAAGTAATACTGAATAAGAAACACGCCGTGATAGGTCTAGTTCGTATGAATAGTTTGGAACTGTGTAAATATCCCCCATAACCCACGGCTGAACAAGAGAAAGAAACAATATGTCAGCTATCTTGAAACGACCGGCTGCCCCTTGATGCCAGGCTTGCAAAGAATATAACATTCATACTGTCCACGCGTTACAATCCGCAATGGCGACAACAATGCTGTCACAATGACTAAACAGAACAGCTGAACGGGAAGACCGGGGAAGTATCTGGGAAAATAACAGACCAACTCTTTAGCGCCGTCAACAGGTAAGCGAAAACAAATGAACGAACCAGCAAGCTCAGAATTGGCTACCAGAAGTCGTCAGGTAACGGTGTGTAGGTGTGTGTTGCGACATCGAGCAGTTGACACACACGGTGGTCGCCCCATTTGTCGATGACGTTTGAATTCATCCAGTACCACCTTTCAACAGCAGACAAGGCCGGCAAGAGAATAACTTAGACGGGCCATATAGAGTCCGTTAAACGAAGGGAGGCACAAATACACACATACACGTATCCAGTAATGATAATGACATAAATGGACGTTCCATGAGATAACAATGGCTTTGAATTAAGACTTAGGATATACTGAGGGATTGGTTGGAGGACGTTCCTGGGAACGGAAACCAGGGTTTCCAACGCAAATAAACATCTCCAACATAGACAGGCAAGATTGGAACCAGAATTCCAGTGATGTTTCATTCGAAAATGGGACATTAGTAATAATGGTAAAATCGAACTGTTGAGTGTTCATTAACTGGGAAATCATTAAGAATATTGACACAGTGGGCTATCAAACAATACAGGAGGGAAATCGAGACCACACAGTGATGGCGTGCTACTGAGAAAGTGACAGAGAAAACGAACAACTGGGCTGGTTGGCCAGGAACCTTGTAGAAGTCTCGATATCCCTACTTACCTCAATGCTGAAGTAGCCACGGTCAACGTAATCCCCCAGGAATAGGTACCGAGTTGTCGCCGGATTTCCGCTGACTTCGAACAACTTCATGAGATCGAAAAACTGACCATGGATATCCCCGCAAACTGGAATGGGGCAAAACATTTAGGGGAAATCATCGCAGAATTCGGTCAGGAAATGATCAAGATACGATGCAAATTAAAGCAGCTTATGTCCATGTGCTGTAAAACCAACAAATAGCCTCTGAATACTCTAGGGTCAAATAGACTGATTGCGTCGCTCTCAAGTAATCCCAAATGATGCAAATTATTTTAATGAGTTGGCTGATCCTTGTACGTCAAACTATCCGTAGTAATTTTGCTATCGCGTACAGGCCCTGACATCAACCTACGACATTCTCACACATCAAGCAATGGAAACATTAATCCAGCTTAACCCATTCTCCTGTTCGTTCGATGTGACCTACTCATTATAAATCTAAGGGAAAGACTTCAGCATTACCCGAATCCTTAGTTTATAAAATGGTCAATTTCGTGCTGCGCTGTTTGATAACTTTTAGTAGGTATCGTGGTATCACACAGATCATAATGTATCCTGAGTGTATAAACTCTCTTTGAATCAACCCACAGTTTATTAGAACCCGAAGAGTAAAAAAGTACTAGTCTGGAGCGAATGTGAATGTCCACTCAAGAGGTTAGTAGTATGAAGTTAATCTCGGCACAACTCTGCCTGTTATATCCGATAAAATTCCAATACTGTGTTTTGGGGAACAGGTTATGCTAGATGCGCGGATCGAGATGACAACAACTGCAAATTACATGTATTAAAGGCATTTGTGAACATCCACATCATTACAAATGGGAAGATAGTGACGACGCGAATATGCTGAGACAGTATATTGAGAGAATGTCCATCAGTCTCTGATGGCGACAAAACTATCTATAATGTGTATATGGAATTGAGGAAAAAAGTAGTCCTCACAAGATAAACTATCCCAAAAAAAGTTTTCCTTTGTTTGGGAGTCAAGCTAAATTGAACTGGAGGGGTAAGGTTGCTGTGGACTCTCTAGACGAGTATCCTCTATCCAAAGAGGAACCTATAGGAAGAGAAGGCTCAGTGTATAAATTAAAGCGCATATGTGTATGGGAGGCGACAAATTCCATTATTAACGTGCGGAAAAAGTTACTACATCACGATCAATACTTACACACTACTCATAAAAAAAGATCGGTTTGAAATATTAAGACAACTCAAAAATCGTGAACCAAAAAAACACTGGGAACTGTCCATTGCGAAAACATTCAGATACCGCTTTCCCATTACTGTCTGATATGACCATGCGGGACAGAAAGGGAATACCAGCATAACAGTCAACAAAACAGATCGCGCACCCGGTCGGACATGTGGTTACTTCATGTCATTGTCATTTCTTCGTTAGCGGAGTAGAAAGCGAATAGTGTCTGATTAAGAAAACTTTTAACATTTGTTTGAGGTAAACTACAAGCGACCGAAATGAGTTGCCTAAAGTGAGGTGAAACCCTTCATTCTTTCAAACCCAAATGCGGTCAAGCAAAATGCCCTGTTCTTGTATTGGAGGATATCCCATATTGCCCATCTGACCCTATCTGGATGAATTTATCTCAGCGGTGAATTAGGGTAAATCCATGGAGAGAAAAGGCTGATTCATCCTTTTCGGTCACTAATCATCAGTTGGAACAGTCTGGATGGAAAAAAGCCCGTTGTCGCGGACAGCAGTGTGGAGCGAGTTTTCTAGTACTACCAGACGGCTCACGGTGTCTCCCAGAGAGGCGCAACTACCCAATTCATGAACGCCTTATTTGGTCGACTACTTTACGTCTATGAGTTGAGATGTCGATTTTCACGCACCAGAAAAACATGAGGATACCAAACTTCGAATCCCGGTCGTGGCAGAAAATTCACACCTCGATAATAATTGCAGTGGGTCCTCAGCAGCGAAGTATTCTCCGAGACCTGATGATCCATTCATCTATGCTGTTGGTCAGTATTACTGCGCCTGCGATTACCATGAGTCATAACCTTTAAATGGGATGGCTAAGGAGGGGGAGTAACAGCTGAGAGCTACTCACAGATTTACACCAAATGACTTCCGAATGCAGGATATCGGTCATACGCTTACCAGTTACGATCATTCCGACCCAGGCAGCAAAAAGCCACGTGAGTGAAAAGTAACATCGGTATTTCGTAGATTAATGCTAACGTTAGTCAAGATTGATAATTGATAGTACGGTAGCATCAAGTAGAAATGAACGCAGCTTGAAACTAGGAATCCCAAACAGAATAAAAGTGCAGAAATGCACAGCGAATCTGGAGGGGCTCCTCAATAGTGAGCTGAAGTTACCGCTCCTGGTTTTAAAGTTCGATAAGTTCACTAATTGGTACTATGATGCTTACCTAAAAGCTTATGCCGAAAGACTTATCATATGCATAGTGTTCACATGGATTTTCTACCAACGACCTTCTGTCCGCTGAGAAAATTTAAACCATAGGTTGAACCAACTTGGACTGCAGTACGCCACTTCTCTTGTTCAACAGCAAACCAGACACGAATCGTTTTCGAATCCAACAGCGTCTTTAATTCCTTCGTGAGCGATACTAGTTATACAAGTGATGTGGGCTGTCGGTGAATTTATACCAATCGCGTGATTAATACCGCTGTTGAAGAGAAAATGCTTTGAGATCTAGAATGCTGATTTGGTTGAATAATGAGGCAGCCGCATTGCAAACTAGAACCAATACACGGTCGTTTGAATAGGGACTTTTATGAAGTGATCATGCAAAACAGCTGTAGGTACATACTCTTCATTTGCTCAAACACTTGATTGGTATACGCTGCAAAGATGGTAACTAACCGGTAACTGGTGCGTCAATATTCAACACCGTACTTTCTTCACGCAAAAGTGCGGCACCACCACGAATGATTTTCAGTGCGACTTCTTCGGTAACGCGTCCTTCGAGGACAAAATGCTGCTTGAGTTTCTCAATTCGAGGGTCCCCCTTGTGATCAAAAACATCGGCTGTGGTGAGGCGGTAGGTGGGTGGATGTGGAACACCTAGAGAAAAGTGCAGAAGTGAATGAAACAAGAGTTACTGCAAAATGCTAAGAATAATAATCATCTAAAAATCATCCAACCGAACACTACCAAAATTATTGAAAACCACCAGTTTCGCCCTTCTTGAAGCTCATTAGGTAGGCATATTCACCGAGTTTCTACCAGTCGTACTTCGCACTGCAGCACTAAATTGTAAGCACAAGGAGATTTACATTCAGTAGCAAATTAACTTAGCGCTAGCGAAAGACCTAACTACTTATCGCATAAATCTATCGGTTGGGATTAACTTAAATTGACGCATACGTACAAGTGCATACAAGTGCATACGTACAAGTCGGTGATGAGCCCCAAGAAGGACGGAACCGACGGTGGAGTGTCAAATAGTTTTCAGCAACCCTTCAGATAGTAATGGGTAAAGAGAAGTACTTCAACATCTTGAATGTCGTTCCAGCTGGAAAACAAAACAGCATTCGGCAAGCACATTCAGTTAAAATCATTACAGACGGAAATCCAGCCCATATGCAGTTGAGTCTCTCGAAAGTAAGGTCCACCGCAAGCCAAAGATCCATCCAATTGTAGCATATCTGCAACCTGGAGACTAATCAGGGCAACCGATCATATTTGCCGCTCCCACGTATATTAAATGACTTGGAGTAGACATACTCAGAACGGTGGCCGAGTTTTATGGCTTTCCGAGGTCACCGGCATTCCAATGGTTCGCAATCACGGCAACAGAATTACTGTATAAAATGAAGCACCCTCATGACATAAAAACAAGTCACGTGACAAACATATCAATTCGTGCAAACTTTGCAAACAGTTCCACCAGTGACTCAAAGGGAAAGGAAATTCGGATGACAGAAACAGAATAAGGAAACTCACAATGGGCCCATCGTGGTAACACTGGAGCGCAACATAACATACTGTGAGTCAATAAAAAAAATTCGCTAAAAGGGGCGGAACTAAGCAAATAAGTATGCTGAATTCAGCTCATTTTGTCATCCAACCCAAAGTTGAATAAAATGAAGAACAACTTTCAGTTGAAACCCAAACTACAACGTGTAACGCATCCAGAAGGACGTCTACGACAAGTACACACGCATATCCTTCAAAAAGGTTCTTAAGTTGCAGCGTAATGTAAAAAGATTGGTAATCGTTTTCCGACGTAAAATGGACGTACGTTCAAGTGATGATCTATCAAATGGATCGATTGACATTCGACATTCTGACATCCAAACCAGAGTATAATTAGTAACCAGGGTCAGTTCTTCACCAGTTACACCACCTACACACTAGTTCGGGTCCAAATTATTTTTCTCCCAATTACTCTTCACCTTTGGATACTGATATGTCATGACCTTACCAAAGAGAGTGTCTTCTAGACACTCCGTCCAAGTTTTTGTTTGTTATGTATGTCAAACAAAATTGCTGAATATTCCTAGGGTTTCTGATCCTGTGAGTTTTCCGGTAGTTAGAAATAACTCACCAGATGCCTCCGCATCAAAGTGTACGAAAAGAGTTGTGTTCTGAAGCTATCGTTCTTGGAATATACTTTTTGTAGTAGCGACTGCCTTCAACGTGGATGATAAAATCATTGTTACAACACCATTTATAAGACCGGTGAGGACTATTCGACAGCCCACTACCAGTTTAGCCTTCCTATGGGCTTCTCAGGTAAGACCGGCCTATGGTTTCCCCACAATCTCCATGTGTTCTTTTATACAACTACCACGTGTTGATAACAACACTTTGAAACCATGTTCATCATGAAGTCTGTCTTCTGACGAACGCCAATATTGCTTCTAGTTCGATTACATTAGAAGCGAAACTGTTTTACGATAGGCATGCACATGGACTGCTTCCGGTAATCAGTGCACGGATAAATTTTGCCGTAATAGTGGGATACAACACTTTAAAACCACAGCATAGTACTACCCAACAATGCATGCGCCTTTAGTGATACGTTCACGTAGTATACCGTCAATGAGCTCGGGCTGGCCCAGTGGTTAAGGCGTGAACTTACTAACCAGAAGGTTCTTGATTCGAACCCAACCTCCGCATCTGAAACGCTCCTGTCTACGCTTGGGCAATATGATAGTATCTCAGCCCTCGTGCTTTCTTCGGGTGGCATGGCAGCTAGACACCGCAGGGTTATTATAGGTGGAGTACTTTTCCACTAATTTTGCTATCGTCCAACACACCACCGGTATGCCCGATTTTACTTGGGAAGTGGATGAAAAGCAAAGGTTGTCCTGTGGAAAGTGCGACGAACGGTACAAGATACCAGCAAAGCCACACTCGCTCGACAGCGAAAATGAAGTCCCAGTTGAGAAACATAGCATTTATCCAGCAAATGCAAGTACAACGGTCAGATGTGCTTTCATGTGGTTTTTAATGATATGACGTTTCTCCCGTCTATATAACACTTCCGTTAGGAAACGATCGGCATAGGGAAATACGTTTCTTGGGTCACGCACTTACAAATCACACCTAAATATTGCCTAAGAGGTTAGGATTCAGGCTGCATACTTCTCGGCTTAAAGCTCTAACATTACGGAGTAGCAGCCCGGATTTTGCGGGGGAAGCCGAATTTACTGAAGTGTTAACTTTTTAGAATATGACACAAACAGTCGATTTAATGGATATGAAAGATAGCAAGGTTCCGGCGAAATTGTTGGTGTGTAGAATTGTCGGTGCTACCATTCCGTATCGATATATATATATATATTGCCCTCCAAGAGCAAGCCTCAAAAAATGAGCTTCCAGAGAGTGGGAGGGCGCGAAACTACAAACAGTCGATTTAATGGATATGAAAGATAGCAAGGTTCCGGCGAAATTGTTGGTGTGTAGAATTGTCGGTGCTACCATTCCGTATCGATATATAATATATATATGCCCTCCAAGAGCAAGCCTCAAAAAATGAGCTTCCAGAGAGTGGGAGGGCGCGAAACTACTTAGTTACAAATCTAGGTACCTTGTGAAGGAAAGACTGCCTCTCAAAAGAGGTAATCTCAAGAAGAGGGTGGCCTGGTCACTCGAATTAGAAAGCACCCTAATCGCATAGGCCAGTATAAGCCCGGAAATGCAACTGTGTTTGTCTAGGTAGAGTGGCGATGACAGATATTTATTCAAAGACCACTAATTTGGAGGCCAAATGTGTCAAATCAACGCAATTATGTTTTGGAATAAGACTTCCACAGTGTAACTACTGGCAATAAAAATCACCTAGCCCATAAACAGACAGTGTGGAGCATTTCTGTATGTTAAAAAATGCGCCGATTTGTAAGATTATTTGGTTTGATGATACACTGCGCTTAACGTACGCGCATTATGGTCGAAAATCAAAGACACACAGTACATGACTTATCCCCTGGCTCCAGTAGCTTCAGGTAGTTGCTTCAATAAGCACTTCACAAGGTGACTTTGAAAAATGAAATTTTCGTCATCGCTATGATCCACAGAAGGAGGGACTATGGCTTAAAAACTTACCAATACCCATAGAATATGAGCATTGGATCATAAACGGGCTTCAGTAGGTTTCCAAATACCTGCACAGGCTTCGTAAAATCAACGGAAAACTGGGCCATTCAGCAAGGACGGACAGCGTAGAGGGGCTTATCGGAGAAATCACAGGAGAGAATGCATGCTCAAAGGGTTCAACATTTTGTATGTGCTTGCTTTCCGGGTGTAGTGTCTTATTTCAGGCGGGTCAAAAATTAATAAGGGACGCTTGATTATTTAATTTGTCATTCCTCTTAAACGATGGATGCTTTCAGATATATTTGCAGAAAGTCAGTGAAACAACCTCCTAAGACATTCCCAACGTGCCATCTAGTGTGCACTTCAACTGTGCAGAAAAGTTAAAACAATCCGTCAAGAGGCAACCACTTTATGAACGTTAATCGGGATTGCGCCACACATGCGGAGAGAAAATGTTTGTGCGCTGTTTCGAGAAATGCGTCTATAGTTCTGGGTAAAAAGTACGAATTATGGGTTGAACCAGGTATTAGTACTTCTACGCCAAACCAGTTCCGCTCTCTTGTAGGAAAATGGTCAAAGGACCTAAGTGCCCCCACCAAGGAAATGGTGCCCACATACTGCTGGGCATTCGACATAGCTATACTTATCACGCGCGTGCCACGGTTTAGGAACATCATCTGATTCCTAATTCGTAACAAAATGATGCTTCTCACTGACATATCACAGCCAACACATTACAAAAGCACGTAGGTACCGACAGCTATCCCGATGAGCTTATTTAGAAGCATAGAGCACGCGGTCAGAATACCAATGGGACGAAACACTTGTGGCAATTGTAATCTAGAATTGTATGACGAATGACATGGCATGAGTCTAACAACCTTGAAAGAGTGACCCGTGAATTTCTTAGTAAATGGGGCTCTCTTAACGGCAAGAATGTAGTGAACGCATGGCAACTGAAAGACTGGCAGACCCGCTTAACGGCAGAATGTAGTGAACGCATGGCAACTGAAAGACTGGCAGACCCGGATGTCAGACGAACTTACAAGAATCGTCTTCTAGAGTCCTCTCCAAGTGCTCCACCATCAGATGTGAACTCATACTGGGACGAGATTGCTACCCCTTTGCACAGTGCTGGGAATTTTGCCTGTGGCACGACCCAACCAGGCGCACTCAAGCACTGGATATCAGACCGAACGGTGGCACTACTTAAATCTCGAAGAAATATCCCAACCGGTCCCGAACATAACCCGGTGCGAAGAGCTATCAGACGCCAAGTGAAAGTGAGCTTGCGATATGATCGTGAAGTATGGTGGACACAGAAAGCCAAAGAAATGGAAGAGGCCCAGAAGGCCTGTAATGCCCGGAGATTATTTCAGTTGATCCGTGCGACCGGCCCCCGGAAACCACCTGTGAGCGAAACCATCAAGCATCAAACGACCATCTCGAACAAAGAAGAACGCCTCGACCGATGGGCTGAATACTTCGAAAAACAACTGTCGTGGCCACCAGCCGGCACTCATCTAGAGCCCACAAGTGAAGTAGAACCCTGGACGGTGAACGCGGAACCACATACGGCCTCGGAGGTTTACGACTGCATATGTTCCCTCAAGCGCCACCGAGCTCCCGGTCCGGATGATCTTCCACCCGCACTGTTCAAAGACGGGGGTGAAGTCCTCAGTCAGCGCCTGTCCGATATGTTTGCTTGCATCTGGGAAGAGAAGTCTGTCCCAGACAACTGGGAAGAATCGGTGATAGTGCCCATTTTCAAAAAAGGGGCGCGTAGTGAGTGCGGCAACAACAGGGGGATCAGCTTGACCCCGGTTGTAACGAGACTGTTGGAGTCAATTGTGCTTCGTCGCCTTACGGTGGCTCGTGAGAT